AAAATTATTATTTAATTAGTTATTTAGTAGTATTGTTTAGAAATTTTAGTAATAAAGTTATGAATACATATTTTGATGTTGCTAGAACTTGACGATCTCCTTATTGGAGGACAGCTTGAATACATATCGAAGTGCTGAACCCGAGCTAAGCACTCTGATGCTGAAGTTAGCAGTGACAGTGTTGAGAGCAGAGAGCTTGAGAGAGCAAAGAGTGAGTTGCATAGATTGTGCATGCCTTCTAAAGGAATATTGAGGTCCTTTTTATAGGCGTTGGGGTCCATGTTCCGTGTCTAAGATATCTGGTAATGGTTGGTCTTATTGGTCCGTTATCTTCTCAGTGCACTCCTTCCACATTGGCGGTGATCCACATGTAGACTCCCTGAATCGTGTGGGAATTGGGGATATGCGTACTAAGAAGGCAACGTACCACTGCCTAAATCAAAACCGATTGGCGTGTTATTCTGGATAAGGACGTCCTACCACTTAGGTCGGACGATCGGTACCCAAGAAGTCCTACTCAAGTATTTGTCTACCTAGGTTGGGGCGATCATGCTAGTCTTTGAGGTCCTCGGTTTGTCTTCTTGAGGTGATACGTGTTGTCTTGTCGCAGAGAGACCTATTAGTCTCTCTCTAATCAGATGTAGGCCATGTAAGTTGTTTCAACTCCACCCGACCTATCTCACATGGTGCTGAAGTGTTGTAGACAATTCAGACTCACCACGTGTTTGGTGTCTCTTTGTTATTGATCGGCCAAATTACCCCTCATCAAATTTCACTTTATAAAAATGAAACCCTATTACTTATTAATACTATTGAAAAAATATTGTTGAAAAAATATTAATTTTTTAAAAACATTTAGTATTATTGAAAATTATTAAAAAATCATTTCATATTAATTATTTAAAATTATATTTTTTAATTAGTTAATTAATAATATTTTCAATATTATTGAAAGTTATTAAATATTTATTTTTTAATTAATAAATAAATTATTTATTACTTGTAGTGAATAACTTATTTGAATTTGTACTTTACATATTTGAATTTATAGTCCTTCCGAACTGATTTGAAATAACATGAAATCAACACGGTTAATCTCTTTGAATTAAATGACAAAAATATTTAAGTAGTAAAATAAACCTTCAATCATCCATCACCTATACAAATTAATAAAACCATTAAATATCATCCATATTTACCAAAATAATGTTTCACTAAATATAATATAATTTAAACTATGCTATACTAAATAATTATTTTGAGTAATACATATCAACTCAAATTTAATATATCTATAATTCGTAGTGATGAAGGGTGATTTGGCCCTACCTAGTAACAGGGGGACACGTGGACGCGACATAACTAGTAAGATGACAGTTCAGCCCGACATGCCAAGTCCGCAATAGATCGAGCTCGGATAATCAAACCACCTCGGGATGAGTTAACCTCGGTGTAAGGTCGGATCAGGATCTCTTCGATCCCAAGGCACTTCGGGGTTCGGTCCAGGCCGGATCTAAAGAGGGGTAGCTCGGGTAATATTAACAGACCACTACGTGGCAACCCCGAATATCTCGCCACCAGACTCCGGGCCTTGCGGGATCACTCCGCGTAACATCTAGCATTATCTTCCCCGACCGATTCGGGC